AGGAAGGAAGGAGACGTGTGTGTATGTGAGTGTGTGCTGGGAGGAGGGCACTCACCATGCAGGCCTGAGCCAAGCTCATAGCCAGGCGGAACCGGGCAGACATAGCAAGAGGCAGCAAGGGGCTGAGGCCAGAGCCCACGTCAGGATTGATCACACGCAGGCAGCGAACCACGGCCTCTACAACCAGCTCCGTGGTGAAGGCTCGCAGGGTCTGCACATCTGGAGGAACCGCCCTGAAGAAGGAAAGGGCGGGCTCACTGGGACAGGAGCAGACAGGAAACTGGGAGCAGGCTGGGCCATGCAACCCTCCAGAAGCCCTGCAACCTGGGGGGGGGGGGTGCCCATGTTCAGGCAGATCCTCGGTCTCAGTGGCTGTGAATTCCATTTGGAGAGCTAAAAACTAGTAAAATCCCCAGTTCCTAAAACCTTGGTAGGAGAATGGTGGATGGAAGGGACCCAAGTTCCGAAAATTGCAAATTTCCCAGAGGCTTAAAACCTTCACATCTGGGGGGTCTGGGTGGCATAGTCTCTGGGTTTCTAGGTCCACAGATATCGTATTCTCTGCATGTCAGGGATCCCTAGATACTGAGTGGTTAGGGTTTGGAGAGGAGTTCACGTTGGGAGGCTCGGGTTTTCCGTAGTTCTAATTGCCAGGGTCCCTGAGAGTCAAGATTTCTGGCTACAAGATTCTCTACTTTCAAGTGATACAGGAGTCAGGCTTCCTAGGTGTGGGCAATCCTGGGTTTTTAGGGCCCCTGAATGAGGGAGTCCTTGTGTGTCAGGGTTACCGAGTGCTGACACCACCATATTACAGGGTCCGGGGGTTTTGAAAGCCCAAGGTGTCTGAGGAACTTAAGTCTGAAGGTTCTTAAATATCCTGTCCCGAGGTCTGTGGAGTTCCCCCGACAACCAGGATCCTGACGTTTTCAGTTCCCTAGAGCACAAGTGTCTTAGGGTCTTCAGATATAAGGGTCCATCGCTTCTCGGCCTTTTGGCTAAGATCAAGTGCAGATATAAGGGTCCAGGGGTACTGATGTCAAGATCCGCATATTTCAGGGCCCCAGTTCTTAAGATTCACAAGCTCTATTGTACGTCTGGGTCCCGCAGTTTGGGGTTACTAAATGTTGGAGTCAAGGGGTTTGGAAGGTCTCTGATGTTGAGATGTGTGGGGAAGTCTTGGGATTCTGCAAGTGGAAACCCTGGATGTCAAGGTCCTGAGTTTTAAGGTTCCCGGGTAACGGGGTGTTGGGGGGTGTCCCTGGGTTTTAGAGTCCCGAATGTGGGCTTTTAAGGGTGAGTGGAGGCTAGGTACTTACGTGCCGGCCTGACGCAGCGAATGGATGAGGATTCGGTCCGCCTCCTCCATGGTGGAGCCGCGTCGGAGTCGGGGGCTGGGTCCAGAGCCGAATCCCGAAAGAGTAGGGTGCAACTGCTGAAACCTCGCTCCGCGCTCTCGGTCCACGGAGGGTCACGGGCCGCGCGGGGAGAGCTGGGAAGTGTAGTTCCGTGAACGAGCGAGTGTGGCGCAGGCGAGAATACTTGCGGCCTAGTGTGAGGGCGCACGCGCACGAGCGCGCAGGCTTGAACGCGCAGGCTTGAACGCGCAATGGCTCATGGGAGTTGTAGTTCTTCCACCCACAGTCCCGTGATTGTTTAAGGGTAAAAGGAAAGTGGTGGGGAGAGGAGAAACGAACTTTTTTACTCATTCATTTAAGGTGGCATTCATCTTCTAGGCTATAAAGTTGTAGAAGTTAAGGGAAGCGGTGTAAGCAGCAAGCGACTGCTTCCCCATGTCTTACTTTGCTCATCAGTAAAGCGGGACTATAGGACATGCTTCCTAGGATTAAAACGGAATTTAATTTATGTAAAGCACTTGTACTGTATGCCTGACACAAATACAGTGAGAAGACACTATGTAAGTTATAGTTACTAGCATTCATGCATTCAATAAATGCTCTATTTTTAATATGCTGTACATATTTGTGCATTCCAAGGAATAATCACCTAGCAAATATTTATGTAGCCACCATTTATTGAAAAGCCCATCTTGTCTCTAATATACAGCACTACCAATATTTCTCATAAATCACGTGTACATGTGAGTATGTATATAAGTTTCTGCACTCCGTTTTCTTCTACTCCCCTGTGATTACTATCAAGAAGCCTTGATATAAAACACAGCAAGTCTTCCCATCTTAGCTTTTCCAGGTCCTTTGTAATGTTGATACACATTTCAGAACCAGTTTGTCAAATTCTGCAGAAAAAGCTTCTGGGATTTTGTTTTGGGATCTCAGTGAGCCTCTAGATTGCTTTGGGAAGAATTGACATCCTCACAATGCTGAATATTTCAATCAGTAAACATTGTATAGTTCTCTGGTTATTTAGAACCCAGTTAACATTTGATGATATTTGAACATTTGATGATTTATTTGAAAGGCAGAGATACATTTGATGATATTTGACATTTTTCCTATGGAAATAGTGCACATACATTATACTAGATTTTTCCTACGTACTTCAAATTTCAGATGCCATGATATTCTTCTTATTTTAGTTTCTGACTCTCTGGGAGCAGGTACATGTTTGGCAAACATTTCATCAGTGCCTTTTGTGTTGACAAGCTCTGGCTCATCAATGTCCACTTGCACCCCTTGCTCACCCACCCCTCTGACACTGTTATGGCCCCGCCCTATGACCTTAATCCCTCTAAAGCTGGGGGAAGAGAGGGGGGCTGTGCGCAGATGGCTCTTCAATCTCCAAAGGAGGATGTCGGAATCTGAAGGCGGGAAAGGTGAGAGCAGCTTTGCACCCCTGCAGACCCTTAGAGCAAGCCTGGACTCTGCTCCACCCTCAGCCCCTCTCACCTACCCACTGCCCACCCAGACCCCAGCCGGGGGGAGCCTCCAAGGGAGCAGAGTCACATCACCCTATTCCCATCCCAGCTAGCCCCAAACACAGCCTCTTTACCATCTGAGCCCTGATGGTCAGACTGGCCCAGATACTGCACCCAAGGCCTCCTCTCCCCATCTACTCCCTTAGTTCCCAAATGAAACCCAACCCTCGATCCTGGCCCTGACCCCATCCTAGCACCCACCCCAACCCTAACCCCAAAGCCAGCCTCCAATTGAATCCTAACACAAATGTTAACCACCAGGAAGGCAAATCCCTGTTAGAGTCCAAATCCCACCCTGGATACAGACCTTACCAAGAACTCTAAAGTCGCCTAACCTTAACCTCAACCCCTGAATGTCCATACTCTTAGGGAGTGTGGTCTCTGACTTTCCCAAAAGAGACCCTTAAAAAAAAATAATAAAACTAGAGAGAGGGAGAGTGAAAGAAACACCATGCACTTGGTGTTAGTAAGCTGAATGGGCTGTAGAGTTCGACTGGCTGAGTTTGACTCCCAATTCAACCATTTTTCCAAGTCACCTGACCTTTTGGCCTCAATTTTCTCATCTGCACAATGGGAATAATATTACGTGCCAGGCATTCTTCTGAATGCTGACCTGGGTTGATCCTCACACCACGCCTATCGTGTAGGTGCTCTTGGTACTCTTATTATCATCCCCATTATACAGATAAGGAAATTAAGACTCACCGAGATTATTTCATTTGGCCCACAGCTACCGAGTAGTAGTCAGGATTTAAACTTTGACATTTTCCTCCAGAGCTGGCTAACTTAACCAAGCCAACCTACTGTCCTGCAGAGGCTAAAACTAGATCATGGGAACTAGAGACGGTCTTAGCTGAAAAC